GGTTATAGATGGTCATGTGGACAGAGCAATGGACTAGGATCTGGGGGACCTGAGTTCAGATTCCCACTCCTCTCACTCCCTCAACCCAGCTGGCTATCACTATGTTGCTATGATGAGAGCAAGGTGAACAGAGAAGCATGTGATCTGTTCAAGACCTCCTTGGGAGAAAGGATGGGATTGAAAAGACAGAGAAACATGCCACGTGCCTGAATTTTATGTTGAAGGTAATTTCCGTATAAAATCAAACCATGCATAAAGCTATGAATAAAAGCCATGAGAAACAGCATTAACCCCGACCCTCCCACAATCCAAGTCTGGTTTAAGAAACTGTGGGGTCAGTTGATAATGGAAAGCATCACAGACAAACACAACTGTAATGGTAGAAATCCCTTATCTAACTTTAGTGCAAAATGGTTCCCAGTTCTGAACTTTCTAGAGTCAGGAGAATTCATCTCCCCCTCATGGAAAAATTACATCAAATGGATTTAATCAACATAGAAAGAATAATCTTATAGCTGTACCTGCGTTAGTATTACAAATCACCTTTCTATCATCTTTCCCTTGTAATCAGCACAATCATGTCAAAGCTCATGGCCCTCATCTTACTTGACTACCAAGGGACTTATTCTCAAATTAACCTCTCAAAAGAGTGATCAGGAAGTCAACTGGTTTTATTTGAAGGTATTATATCTACCCCTGTGGTTACAATGTTTGTACAGTTTAGTAGACTACGTGAAACCAATTTCTTGTATTTTGGTCATACACTTTATATTTCTGTATTCTCTGGGAAAACTTCCCACTACATGTTGTTCTTACTGCTCAAGTGTTTGTTGTTATTGTAAGTTCTCTACATATTTCAATAAATGTTAATTACAAAAAAGAAGAAGAAACAGCATTAAAACAGTGTAAAAACATTCAAGTAATAATCGAGTGGCACACTACAGCAACAGAATATTAAAATGTTCAGTGACCCATAAGTCAGTTGCAGTGCAGTTTGAGAGGACTGATGGCTCAAACCAATGCACCAGCAAAAGATTCACAGCTGAATGGGTGAACTGACTCTAGATATCGAAATTTCCCATCTGTCCGGGCCCATCTGTTTATGCAAGTAATCATTTTGATGCTGCAGTTATCAAGTGATGAACTCTGTTCATGAACCAGCCCTTAAATCCAACAGACGTCATCAACAGGGAAGTTGAAAAACAATTTAAATTAGCATACTTGTTGCAAACAAAGCTGACTTGGGAGAATTCTGAGATTTTCTTTCTGTTGCAGACTTAGCATAGAACTGCATAGCCCCCAAAGGGGGACAGGGAGATAACAAATGCTGTACAGAAACATACTGCCTAAGCAAGAGACACACACACACAATTCCCGATTAGGCGTTTGTGTTTAGTGCTTTATGTGTCTTTGTTTAGTTGCTAAACACCTGGCAGGGGCAGTCTTGCTAAAGAAGCATCGGAGAGGAAAAAAATAAATTGGCGATTGCAGGGTGTGTTTTTTTTAAGCTGTCAAGTGAACGGTGACTTACATATTAAGTTGTTGTATATAACTGAAATCTGTATCCCTTTTCCATGTGTATTGTACAGTCAATCAAACTAGACTGCTTTAGAAGTAAACCCATCAGTGATTCCAGGTCAGCAAATACATCTGGGCCCAGAAAAAGGGGAGGTTGCTATGCCTTGAATGTGTGGCTACTGAGACAGTCCTGTGTTGAATGACAGTGGAGGTAAAGTATTTAGACAAGCCTTGGTGCAAAACCCAGCAGATTGACACGGACAGAGAAGCGAGAATATTTCCCCCTCGCTAATGTTGTTAACGTCAGAATAGAGTGGAATAGGCTCCAGTAGCTCGGTTGTGTCATGATGATAAAGTCCGGTGCGCTTTGGAGGTTGGTATGGCGTAGGACAATTCCATGCTGAAACTGGGGATGTGGGGTTATGCGCGGGATCGTGCGCGGGATCATGCAGAAGTGACGATCCCGCGCAACCAACCAAATGTGGAGGTGTGCAGAAATGATCACCCCGATCATGCATCAGGCCGATGTGTCCAAAGCAGAATTTGTTTTAAAAAATTACAAGGCGAGAAATATCTGTGTTGGATTTATGAGCCAGGCAGTCCTGTGTTGCTAGTCAAAAGCAGAAGTGGTTAGGCAGTTGGCAGGCAGCCGAGGATCATTGTCTGTGTTGCTGCTCGGAGATATTCATAGTCCTGTGTTTGGTTTCAAGGTGGATACTTGAAGGACAAGTTCTGTGGGAGTTAACAGGCAGCAGGCGGGAAGCTGTAAATAACAGTGAAATACAGTCCTCGGCTCTGCTTTCCACCCCCCCAGCCCCGAGCAGCAGAGCAATCTTTAGAGGAGAAAACCCTGGAGACGTGTGGTGTCTTATTTGTGGTTTTCCAAACATTTCACTTGAGCCAAAATGTCAGAGTAGAAGACAGCACACGGGCAGGTAGCATGCCTGTACAAGCCAAGTCAGCCCAAGCCTCCTATGTCCGGGCAGCCTCTCTCTGGCTGCATCTGTGTGGGGGCATGAAGATACATGCGCACACACCCCACTACCGAAGCATCACAAATTGCCTGCTTCTGCCGCCCTACTCTTGCCTCCATTGTGCCTATGCCGAAGTGTAGACACGGCAGTGACTACAGAACCCCTCTGTGGCCCAGAACCTCCCTTTCCCCTATTATGGCAGGGCAAGTGGGGGGGGGGACCATTGAAAGGGCCCGAGGGGGAGAGGAATGGTACACACCAGCAAGTAGCCCCATGCGATTTGGGAAACAAAGCTTAGCTCTTTCCCTTCCCCATGGTGGCAGCGGAGGGAGCATTCAGACCGACGTTCCACCTGCAGCCATGCTACAGCTCGCCCTTTGAACAGGGTGAAAGGAGGTTTGTTTGTGATCTGGTTTAAAGGAATCAGACCCAGGAAGGCCACAGGATGTGCTCAGAAAGTGGATGTTCCCACTTAATTTGGGGCTTCCTGCACTCCATACAGGGGGAGTTTCCTGCCCAAGTCCACTCCAGTGTTGTTAAGAGAAATTTCTAATTCCTCTTTACCCAATTTCTCCCTGAAAGCCAACAAACCATTTCTTTTTCTCTTTTTATGAATTTGAAGTTTGTTTTGAATCAGTTCCCGCCCCCCTTTTTTTTGGCCAAAAGAGAAATTTGAAAGGAAGAGGAGCAGGAAGTGAGGTTCTGCAAAATGTCACGATTTCACTCTGTAGATGCTCAAAGGCAGGCAGTGTCTTCCCAAACCTTCCCATCCTCCTGCTAGAGCACCACCCTGTGGTGTGTAACATCAAAAAAACCCTCCAAAACCCTGAAAGGAATGAAATTACAAAAGAAGGGAAAAGTGAATAAGAGGAGTCATAGCCGTTGACTGCAAAAGTGAATTTCGAAAAAGAAATTCCACTCCCCATAACAACGCTAGTCCTTTCGCAGCTCGAGCCTTGGCACAATATAGAACAGATTCCAGCAGTTGTATTTCTTCTGGAACATTATAGTACATGAGCATACATGCTATACAGATGGGGGTGGTGTTTATATTTGTGGAACAATAGTGCCAAAGGGACTGCTATGGGGGTATGTTATATTGTGGTAGTGTTGGTATTCAGGGACATCATATGCCCTTAATAAACTATCAGACCAATAAATAAATAATAAATAATAATATCAATAAATAATATAAATTATATTATATAAATAATATAATAATATAAATAATAAACCAAATGATTTGAGACAGTGTCCACACAGCACTGCATAGGTGTTGAGATCCCTGGTGGGATATCCCAGGCAAGTCCAGATCATCCTGGCCCCACTGGTGGACCTCCTTGATGGCACTGGTATTTCTGGCCACTGTGTGACACAGAGTGTTGGACTGGATGGGCCTTTGGCCTGATCCAACATTGGCATCTGTTATGTTATGTTATGTTATGATGCTGGAGGGAGTGATACAGTGTACTTTTTGCTTCCTTTTTAGTTCATCCTGTGAGTTGTCAAATGAAGTGGCTGTAGATGGATTCGTGCCTTGTCTTTTTGATCTCTGTAGTGAGGGTTAGTGAGCAGAAGACCCTGCCTTAAGTCTGTAGGGTAACACAGTTGAGGGAGTCTCAGTTTATGTCCCACAATGAGAAAAGATGTCTTTATCCCCTATTTGGACATATTTATTGCTTTGCTGTCCTTTCCCCCCTTAATTAAATCAAAACAATGGTTGACTTTATAACCTTAGCTTGTTATTTAGTTTTATCTTTGCATATCTTGAAACATCTTCATCACGTTACATGTTAATTTGCTGTTCAGCCTCTGTCTATAAGTTTGAACTCTACCTTCCATTCCAATGTATTTGAAAAACTGTGCATGCACAAGAAAGCTCATACCTTGAATAAACCTTCGTTGGTCTTAAAGGTGCCACTGGACTCTAAATTTGTTCTACAGTTGAGTGGTGTGTGTCGATTCTCTGTTGTTTAAGGGAATTATCTACTGTATTTGTGCATATTTCCATGGGTGAACCTTTTCCATACAAAAAGGGGCTTTGGATGTTCTTTGGGCTGTTCTTCAGGGCTTCAAAAATTTCTCCACCCACGAAATATTTGTCTCAGGAGCAGAAAAGCCGGATACCCATGTTGGCATACCCAATTCTTCTTTTGCTGATGCTGGTGGCAGAGTGTTTTATTTATGTGCTGCCTTCCCTGCCAGCCCCCTTTTCTTTGGGGGAAATTGCTACGCCTCCCATCCTTTCATTCGTGGCTCGGATCCAAATTGCTCCCTCCCCCCCGGCTGCTTCTCACCATTTAAAAAACTATACATTAGAAGATCCATTCTGTCATGTAATGTGTCGTTTGACCCTGAAAACCATCGTGTAGCCTTTTTTTGTCCTCAAGCCAGTTAAGATCAATAGTCCTAAATTGCTACTTCGAATTAATGCTTTAACTTGAATAATTTGGCACTTTTGTAAAAGTGCTTGTGGTGATTTCTCTCTTTTCCCCTCCCTTCCCCCAGTGTAAAACGCTCTCTGGAATCTGTGACCACATCATTTCTCTCTCATCCGACTCTCTGGTCTCGCAATCAGCTCACCTTGAAGTCGTTCACCTTACCAGCATCATGCCGAGCGAAGGTTTGGTAAGTAAGAGCACATTGAAGAGAGAGACAGAGAGAACATGTAATATTGAGCCTAAATCCCCCCCCCCCATTCCACCTTCCTATTCACAGGCTATGAAGTTGAAGGGAGTTTTGGTGAATTGGGGGCTGAAGTGACGGTGAGTCCAGGGCTCTTTTTGTAGCAGAAACTCCTTTGCATATTAGGCGACACACCCCTAATGTAGCCAGTCCTCCAAGAGCTTTCAGTAGCCCCTGTAAGAAGAGCTCTGTAACCTCTTGGAGGATTGGCTACATTAGGGCTGTGTCGCCTAATATGCAAAGGAGTTCCTGCCACAAAAAAAGCCCAAAGGGGGCAATACGTTTACTCCATTTGGGGCCATCCATGGTTGCAAACGTCTAGTTAGGTATCGATCAGCCTACTCCATTTTTATTCCACCCTTCCTCTAGAGCGCTCATAGCAGCATTCTGTATTCAACCTCCCTGTTTTACCCTCATAAAAAGCCTGTGAGGTAAGTTGGGCTGAGAGAGGGAATGATGGGTCCTCAATCACCCAATTTGCTTCTTGGTTGAGTGCTGAGCTATGGAACATTCATGGTCCATATTCTGTGGGAAGGTGTAGTTGTCTGTTTTGCTGGAACGGAAACCTCACACAGCCCTTAAGGAAGAATGCACGGTATGTTATGGGACTAGAAAGCTGACTCGGAGGACATTTCCGAAGGTTCATAGACTGCACGGCAGAGGATGCTGGGGCTACATGCCCTTGAAGGAAAGATCAGAGTAAGCAATGAAGGGGTCATTTTGTAGAAAAAGAGGTGCAGGAGCTCATTAGCATAACTTATTTGCATGTGCCACACCCCCTGACATCACCGGAAGTGTGTCAGAAGGCAACACCCACAGCTCAGGCTCCATTGGACTGTTTTGGATTACTAGCTATTGGGTGGGTGGGGGGAAATGTGCAGATCTGTCCTCGCAGAGGAGGGAGAGCTTGTACCTGAATAAAACTTGGTCTTAAAGGTGCCACTGGACTGTTTTGGACCGGGGGGTGGAGGGGCTCTGCCACTTACCTGGCTGCTTCTTGCTATGACTGAGGGCTGCTGGGAGCAGGGGGTGGGGCTTGTTGCATGTTTCCCCCTCCCCGCGCTCTTTACTGCCAGAGCTCCATTCCTGTGAGCTCCTGCAGGAAATGACCCCTGGTGATACATATGTACCTGGCAGAAGGGCGGGGTGAAGAGAGTGTCTTGGAACATGAATAACATGGGGATGCTTCCTGTCTGGCTTCCGTTTCCTTCAAGAGTTGTTTTGGACAGAGCATTCTGTGAGTTGTGCTTTCTAATATTATCACACAACTATGATTTTGCAGTCCTCGCTGGACAGTAAGAGCCAAGAGGCAGATATGCTGGGATACTGAAGTTCCTTGATCAATTTTAGTGTAACCAGCCAATTCTTCAGCAGCAGTCTTCTCATTTCTCTTGTTCTATCTCACTACAATGCCAGAATTCATGGCAATTTCATGGTATTTTAAGAGCATGCTTGTTCAGCATTCACAAATAGGAATATGGCCCTGCCTCGTTTCTTAGTCCAAAACTCCCCCCCCCCCACAGTTCTGCTCCTCCTTCTCCTGTTACATCATTTCTTTGGTGTCCGCATGAGGTCTTGGAGATAACTTCATTAGGGGCACATAACCTTGCAGCATCCCTCATGCATTAGGAAACATCGTTTTCTCCAGGTTGCCAAAGTGATCAGGAACGTGACAAACAAGCACAAACACACTTAAGTCTTTTGGGTCAAAACAGGGAAGTATCCATTCCCCTGGTTCTACTCCTTGTGAGTCCGGAATTTTGCTCGGTGGTGTGCTGCACTACTTCTGGTGGGGCAGGGGTGGAAAGTGAGGAAGATCTTGCTAGTAGCAAGCTAGTAGCAGCTGAGTTTCGTCTGAGCTACGGTTGTCTTCCTCTCCTTGCAAGTACTTAAAACCTGGGCAGGGTCAGAATGTGAATCAAAGGGCTTGTGTCCCAGGGGATTTATTAGGTAGCCCCTCAGAACCAGCCTGACATTTATTTCTGTTGTTGTTATTGAATTGTACTATTTGGGGGGGGGGTTGTATTTTGGTATATTTCTGTGAGCGTCTTTGGGGAGGAAAGTGGCAAACAGATCCCATAAATAGATACGTTCTGGTTCAGTTAGATGAATTTCCTGAACTCTGGAACTGATGCCTTTTGCCTTGACTTCTCTTTCTTCTCAATGTTACCCTTGTGTATGTGTGCATCAATAAAGTGCTGTCAAAAAAAGCAATCTTGACACAGTCATGGGTAGGATCTCAGGATGGTTCTATGTGTGTGTTTTACCGAAGAGCTCGTGCACTCCCGCCGCTTGATATATTTGCATTTTTGCAGTGTGTGTAGCTGCAAAGGAAGGGAAACACTCAAAGGAATGGAAGGAACTGGAATTGCATGTACCAAATTCAGAAATAAAAGGCCTAAGACTGTAGGATTCCTTATTGCATTGGATTCACATCAGAAACAAGACTAGGTAATCCAGACTCCAAAATACCATGAAAAAATTGGACGAGGATTTCAGAAGCATTAGTGTGTTACAGGAAAACTGTTCTGCAATGAGTCTCGTGGCTGAATAGGCCGAGGGTTGGGGCATATTCGTCACAGTTTTTAGCTGTTCCCCTTTTCTCATGGGGAGAATTTCATCCTTGTTTTTAGAAACGAAGCAAAAATGGTTTGAACTTCAGCAAGAGAGCCATTAAGCAGGAGAATGAAAGAAAATGACAGAGGGAAGAAAAGGGGGACTGACTGGCAAGGGGTCTTCGCACGCCGAATGAAAGAACCAAGCCTGAAGGGGTTTATCACCACCAAGAGCCTACATTGGTTCGACTTAAATTCTCAAGGCAACACAGAACATTGGTTTAAAAACATCCAGTGTTTTGAGAAGCAAATGATGGCCCATTCTGCATCTAGCATTTGCTCCGTTGTTTTACCAGACCCACACTGGAGCAGAAAAGATGCGGCTCAAAACCACATTTGAATACCCCGGGCCAATGCCATACTGACTGCAGAGTCACCCCTGAACGGCCATAAAACGGCCATAAATCTATGCAGATGGCTACCATCAAACCAAGTGAAATCCGCATGCAGTATGGACAGTGCCATAAAATCCGACAATCAATCAAAGTGAAAGCAGCATGCAATGCAGAGGGGAATTTCTGTTCCAACATGGGTTTGGTAAAACAGCGGAGCAAATGCTAGATGCAGGAGAGGCTAATGACTCTAGTTGGGAAGGGGAGGGATCCAGTCTTGTAGGTCCTTGCTGTCACCTCAAGCGGAAGGAGAGGGAGTTATTCCACTGACCCCTTTCCTCCAAGACTCCTGGCTCTTTGACTGGACATGGCCACAGAACTCCTCCCTCCTCAGTAAGGTTGCCAGGTCCCCTCAGCCACTGGCAGGGGAGGGGAAGTAGGGCTGCCAGATCCAGGTTGGGAAACTCCTGGGGATTTGCGGAGGGAGCCTGGGGAGGACAGGGGCCTCAGTGGGGTACACTGCCATACAGACCACCCTCTAAAGCAGAGGTGTCGAACTCATTTGTTACAAGGCCCAGATCTGACATAAATGTCACTTTGTCCGGCCAGGCCTTGTGTGCCATAAAATGTAACACAAGGTACTGGAGATATAAACTTTATACAGGCCCCGTTCACACGGAGGGTTTCCTGCAGGAGAGCGACGAGTGAATGGCGGGTTTTTCGGGTGCAATCACACTGCAACATCTGGGGAGTGGAGCGCACCCGTGGCCAACTTGTGGCATACCACTGAAAATGTGGAGTTAAAAAATACCTGGTCAAAAGTAGTAGTAACCAGTTTGCCACGGGCTGCCTCTGGAATGCATCAGTATGATCACGCAGGCACGCCGCTTTTCCCTCCAGCCCCTCGTTGACGCGGAGGGAAGGTACCGTGGCATGCTGCTGATGCATGGGATTGCGTTATGGCACGCTAAATTGCAGCGCCGCAAATAGCCACCCCACCCCACCCCACCCCTGTGTTATCCGGCCCGTGTGACCGGGGCCAAAGATGATTTCAGATGCCAAATGGTAATTGCAGGTGAATGACAATAGCAGGCGTGATTGGATTAGGTATGATATGCAGAGGGGTAGTAGGTGTAGAGATATCACCATTGGTAATGAGACAGGAAACTTAGATCTCAGTTTGGTACAGGAGGATTCAGTCCAGGAAGATACAAAGAATAAATGGAAATAAGTCTGAAGAAGTGAGCAGTGAGTCACAAAAGCACATACCCTACCACAATTTTGTTAGTCTTTAAAGGTGCTACTATACTCTTATTTTTTCTACTGCTATTCCAAACCACAACATTCAAAACCGGGGGGGGGGGCATTTTAACCTTCCAGGGCATTCAGTTGCTGACCTAAGAGTAGCAGTTCTCCTACAAAAGAATTTCAAAGGGAGATTAGAAAGAGACTGCTGAATTGCAACTGATAATGAAGCTCAAGACAATGTATCCTCTCGGACTGAATTGAGACCTAGGTTTCTTCTCTCATTACCAATCTCTGCTATTGTCATTTGGCATCTGAAATCACTTCATTCTCCAAGATATAAGAGCAAATGGACTCACATTCTACCTGTATCTGAAGAAGTGAGCAATGACTCATGAAAGCTCCTACCCTGCTGCTAATTCTGTTAGTCATTAAGGTGCTACTGGACTCTTGCTCCTTTCCACCGATAAAGATTGCAAGCTGTGCTGTTAGGTTGCCTCCCCCCCATCTGTTAAAACTGGGAAGGGGGATCTTGCCAAGTGCCATGGGCCTCCATCTCTCTTT